TAGATGCAGCATCTTGCAAGAACAATGATAATAAGACGATAATTAAATTTCTCAAAGAGAATGTATTATCTCGATTTGGTATACCACGTGCTATCATTAGTGACTGATGTACTCATTTTTGCAACCGTTCTTTTAAGGCTGTAATGAAAAAATATGGAGTGGTACATAAGATCTCTACTGCCTACCACCCTCAGACAAGTGGACAGGCAGAACTTGCAAATAAGGAGATTAAACAAATTTTAGAAAAAATGGTAAACCCGGATCGCAAGGATTGGTCTTTAAGACTAGTTGATGCGCTTTGGGCTTACTGTACAACTTTCAAAACTACCTTAGGCATGTCACCTTATAGGCTTGTTTTTGAAAAGCCTTGCCACTTACCTGTAGAGCTCGAGCATCGAGCCTATTAGGTCATCAAGCATTTCAATTTTGACATGGGAGAAACAGGTAAACTTAGAAAATTTCAGCTGACCGAATTAGAGGAGTTGATAAATGATGCTTATGAGAACTCTAAAATCTATAAGGCTAAAATGAAAGCGTTTCATGATAAAAATATTTTGAGAAAAACGTTTAAGCCTAATGATCGAGTGTTCTTATATGATTCTAGACTCCATAAGCACCCTGGAAAACTTAGGTCTAGGTGGACCGGCCCTTTTATAGTGAAGAATGTTTTTGCACATAGAGGCGGTGGAAATAGAAAATCTTAAGGATGGTCAGATCTTTAAAGTAAATGATCAACACCTAAAAGTATTAATTGATAGGCAAGTTCCAAAAGTGGAAGACATTCCACTTGAGGATCCGGTCTATCAACCGTGACCACACCACGCAGGTATGTGTTTTCTTTATTTGTTTTGTTTGTTTTATTTTTTTATTTTATTTTATTTTTATTTTTCCTTTTAGTCTGTTGTTGTTTTCTTTGTTTTTGTTTGCAGGTTAGTTTCATTTGTCAAATTACCATATTTGGTGCTTAACGAACTACCCACGTCACTCATCAGGTGTATTCTACCCTTTTTAGTTCCTTTGCATTCAAATTTGATTTTTAAACATTGAGGACAATGTTTCATTTAAGTTGGGGGGGGGGGGGATGCAAATTCAATATTTAAAATACTTGTTGGAACTCTGTGGCATTTTCATGTGTGAAATATTTTTAATTTTACATCACACATGCATCGTTTTCACATGTGTAATTTTCTCATTCATAGCCATCTTTGTGAATTCTCCAAAACCCCCATAATCAATTTTTTTGTCTGAAGCATTCACAGAACCTCTAATGCACTCATCCAAGCTTTGTAGTAAGATTGTGGTTTGACACATGTAGCTAAAAAACTCTTTTGCTTAAGTATTCATGTGAGTTTTGGAGAGGATTGAGAACCTACAACTATAGTAAATTGTGATAAGCGTTCATTGATCTATTGAACTTGATACTTCTTTTGAGAATATCATTACATGGTTTGTGGTAAGATGGTGGATATACTTGGGATATGACGAATGTCAACTTAGGATCAACGTTAGAGCCTTTCAAGCTAACCCTTTCCACATTAAACCCCTAGTAGCCAATTTTGAGCAAATAAACACATGCAACCTTTTTTTTTCATATGCCTACATTATCCATACTTTATCACATTGGAGTATAACCTATACACTGATTTTTCCAACCTTTTTTACTTCCAAGTGTGTACTAGATGTGGAATTATTTTTTTTTTTCAAAAGACAGAGAGAGAAAAGGGAAGAACATGAGTTGCAAGGTGTTCAAGTGAGTGAGCCAAAAAAAAAAAAAAAGCCAAGGCAGGGTAGAAATAGCAAAATCCCAGGGTGACATAATTGTTCACCAAATTGCTTCCAAAAAAAAGAAGAAGCCAAGACTAAGTAGAAATAGCAAAATACCAGGGTGACATAATTGTTCACCAAATTGCTATAAAAAAAAGAAAGAAAGAAAAAGAGGCATTTTTCAATGACTTGAAAGGTTGAAGAGTACATCAAGTGAGAAATATAGTTTATTGAGAGATTTAACAAGATTCCCTCTGTATGTACTTGAAAGTTTTTGAATCATTTCCATTTTTTTTTATATAACCTCAAAACCTAAGCCACATTACAACCTTTTATGTTGACCGTTCTGATCCTAAATAAGATTTTGGGAAAGCATGGTAGAAGTCTCATTTGTTAGTATTCCTATTATAAGATCAATGTTTGCTTGTTGCTTGTACAAAATTGCCAAATTTCTCATAGAGTGTGTGCACACCCATTGTCAACTCCATAGAGAGAATCTCTACACGAAACACTTTTATACCCGTGAGTTATGGAGTTGAACCTTTTGCTTGAGATGTTCTTGATGTTGCATGTGTTAGGGTTTCTAGTTAGATGGATATAATTTGGAACACACACACACTCTATGGATTGCTTCAGGTGGATTGCTTGTGATGGAATTATTGAATTCCTAAGATTGTTTTGATATGTGAATCTGGAAAGTATGACTTGGTGGCCTTTGTGTGTGATGTTCTTTGTTTTCTTTCATTGTTTCGGCATGAAAATTGCTAGGGACTAGCAATGAGCAAGTTGGGGGGGGGGGGTGTGATGAGTGTGCGAAAGTGTATTTTAAATACCTTATTATTGGATTAAAATACTAAAATGTGAATATAAATAATTAGATATAATTTATATTATTGAATTTCATATCTATTCACATTGAGATATATTTGAGCATAATTTTATAATATTTTAAATCTTAAATATTATATTATTGGTTGGTGAAAAATAATTTATTATTGGATTTTACATTTAATATTTTTAAAACTTTATTATTAGACTTTTATATTTGTTTTTATTTTGATGGCAGCCTATGAAATTAAAAGGCTAAATGCAGCTGCAAATTGGACCCATCACTCAGTAGATTTGGGCTTTAGCTTTCCCAAATACACGTGGGTTTGAGCTGTAGGGGTTAAAATAAAGAAGCCGGAATAAAGATGAAAAAAAAAAGATATTGCTTTTTCAAAGGCCAAGACTTTTAGGTTGTACCAAAGCCTTTTTCTTTTTGTGGGCTTTGACGGCTATGCCTTTTAAGGGCTTTCTCTGTGTGGCGGCTGGAGGAGAAAAGAAAAAGAAAAAGGGAGGTGGCTGGGCAGGAGTAGACGGACGTCGATAAGGAGTATTAATAATTTCGATGACTGCCAGTTTATTTTATTTTTTTGGGAGATTTTTGTTGTCTATTATATTTATGGATAATTAAATTCTCAAGTAAGGTTAGGGATAAACTTGCACAGTAGATGATATTTTATTTACTTTTAAATGATATTTTATTTATTTTTAATTTATACAGTTGATTTTTAATTACTAAGACTTTTTTGTTTTATCATTCTCAATTTACTGTTGATATTTTCTTCTCTGAATAATCATAGAATTTATTATGTTTATGGTTTCAGTCATGTTTTTTCTATTGAATGGATTAGCTTTTTGATTATGTTTGGATCAATTATTTATCTATATTGATTTAATTTTTTGCTACAATATTGTTTCTTGAGTATATTGTCGTCGTTGAATTTTCTCAATATTGATAATAATTTACGTATTTTAAAAGTGGTGAATGATTTTTCAAAGGGTTACATTGGGGTATAATTTTGGTTTATAAATTTATATCTTCGGGTTGGGAATTAAATTGTCAATTGAGTTATTTAATGAATTAAGAATAATTAAAATACCAAATTTGTGCAAAAGATTCCTGACGCTTTACTATTTGTCAAATTTGAATACTATTTTTCGTTAGTCACTTTGCTTCACTTTAATTTGTATTTTAAATTAATCTTTATTATCCAGTAATCATTTAATATTTTTTTTTAGTTTCTTTATTCATTCTATTATTCTTTTAATTTGTCTTTCTATGGAATCGACACCTCAAAACTGTGCTACGATTACCGCGTTATTCTTTTGCCGTAATCAAGATCTCTCATGGTAAACTCCACTGTATGAGGCGCCTAGGGCCTCCCCTGTATGGGGCGCCCTAGTGGGGAGCTCCTTGACGCATAGGACGTGGAGCTCCTCTAGTTTGGGATATCACCGGTTGTGCTCCTTATTGTTCAACGAGCATCAGTTACAAAATTTGTTGGTTTTGAACTATAAGCTGCTGCATTATTTTTGGCATCTGCTGTGCATTTAGAACATGATTAGTTAGTGGAGGAGCAACCTCTTCCTCTTGTGCTGGATTGTCTTCAGCCTGATTCATGGATCTGGTGGTGCTTGTCATTTGTACAGCAAGAAAAGGTAATTAGGTGAGAATTTTATCTTTCCCACAAATGGCGTCAAACTGATGATGCACAAATTGGATTTGTACACCACCTGTCAATTGAATAGTAAAAATGCAGTAATTCATAAGTGAGAGATAGAGACAAAAGCAAGACAAGGTTTATAGTAGTTCGGTAAACGTGACCTCTATCCACTTTGAATGACTAGAGTCGCCGGGTACTTTATTACTTCAAGGGTGTAGAAAAGCAGAGAGTTACAAGCTTACAGAGGGAGATGAGAGTTGTGCTCAATTGAGTGTGATGCCTCCCAAGTATTGTAGGACTTACAATTTATAGTCGCCTCATAATAGATTGCGGCGACTTAATAGTAACTAATTTGGCGGTCATAACGAATTGATAGTAATTAAATAGCTGATCCGACGGAGGCGGCAACCTCTTCTTAACGGGCGAGGCCATTACAATGCTCTCCATAGGACTCGGTCAAAAGATGAGATGGGTGTTGACTCTTTCTAAGGCGGCGAGGATGAGGCTCTTAGATGACCCTTACTTCGAGGTAACTAGGAGGAGACTCTTGGATGACCCTTACTCCAAGGTGGCTAAGAGGAGGCTCTTGAATGACCCTTACATGATCCCCTGCTGATATAGGTCATCGAACTTGATGAGCTTAACCAAGCGTGAACCACTTTGGGCGCTGTATCTCTTGGAGTTGAGCTCTTAATTTAAACTGGGCTCGTAGCATGTGTTGGGCCCTTGGGCTTGACCCATCACAAGGCTTTCTGGGCCAAGTTCACAGTCATAACAGACCCAAACCATGAAATCATTTATGAACCCGTTTCCAATCCATGGCTTCTTGATCTCACGAAGAAGTGTCTTGCATGGGACCGTTATGAAAGATGGAGGATTCCTTGGCTACTTCAAGACCCTTTTTTGGTTCTCCCAATCCCACCTCAATTATCTTCCCCTCAAACCCAATGCTGGAAACTGCTTCAAGTGATTACTGAATCTTGTCCAGACGACCGAAAGGCTTTAATGCTATGTTCCCAGCTGCAAAAATTACTAAGGGACCCAAGAGCTGGAGTGACATCTCTATCACGAGATCAAAGATCAACAACGTAAGTTGCTTTGTGAAATATCAAGCCTTTGCTTTCGACTACAGGAACAATTAGCAAACTTTGACACAGGTCAGAAAAAAACGGAACTCATGATTTTGGAAGTATTTAGTGCTGGACATTTAGTAGCCAAGCAGCCTCTTCAGTTCTTTTTGTAGGAGTTTTTGTATGATTCATTCATGTTTTTGTGCAAAGCAAAGGACTGTACCAAGTGGCTGATGGACTAGTCCGGCATTTAAGTCCTGGTTGCATGGAGTGTGTATCTCTTGGAAATTAATGTAGAAATTGGCCTGTGCTGAGGCACATGTAAATGACTAGGTCCTTTATGTTTTTATTACGTAATTGCATTCAACAATCTTCTATCAAAAAAGTTAAATCGGGAGCTTTGAATTACAACTCTTTCAAGGTTAATGCTTAAAAGATTGTAGATATTGTGTATATCAGGATAAACAAAATAAATTCATATACGTTTCTTTCTTTAAATGTAAGATGTAAAGGGAGTTTTCTTTATTCTCTGCTCTAAAATTTCTAGAAATGATGTGTTTATCATGATGGTGACTTGATGTTTTTTGGGATTACTATTGAATTACTGTAAAAGGAACAGTGTGATCATGTCGAGTTTATGTGCCAACGTGGTGCTATGCAGTTAACTGTGAACAAAAACCGGAAAATATTCCAAATTATTTTAAGAATTTACGAAAATAAGATTTCCAGGGGGCAAATGATCGATACCAATTACACAAATGGGGGGGAGAATAATACTTATTTTACATCTGATAGATATCTCTGTCACTCAGTATAATAGGTACTTGAAGCATTTCCAAAAGAGGATTCCTGTGACAAGAGCAACAATACCGGAGACTCTCAAACAGGCGGTTATGAGGGGTAATCAGAGAACAAAAGATGTCATTTGAAACAAACAATTCATCACCAATTAGAATGTCATTAGGACTGTAAAAGAGAATAATTGAAAGGGCCAAAATTGGAAGTCTTGTGTAGCGAGACTCAGAAAGTATCAGTTATTTCTGCATAAAGAAGATTGAAGCAAATACATGGCACAAAGGAGCTAATGCCGCGAGAAGACACAGACCAAACATGAAACACATTTGCAATGACCATATTCTCGAGTTGTACTTTCTAAGCATAACTGACAGCAGTGTGTATGCTACTAATGTCTACAGATTTTCATCTCAATTGTGTCTGTAAGGTATATCTCTCTCCTCGTCCTTAGATGAAAGCTTAAAAGAAGCTTCGGCGTGTGCTTCCTCCAACTTGAACAGGAGATCTTTCATGAAAGGAGTATTGGTTCCATGAGTAATTTGCAGAATATCCACTGCTTTAGTCAGTGACTTGACAGCATCCTCTGTGTATCCGAGAAACCTATAGAACAACAACCATCAGTTCTGCTAAAACATGAGCTTAAGCCTTAAAGAAAGCTCGACGTTAATTATTTAATAATCTCAATGTCATCAAGCAAATGCAGTGTTAGGCTGTTTACACCATTGCTGCACGTAGATACGTTCTCATTGTTGCTATTTGCTCCTATCCTAGCATTTTACCATTTATGCTCAATATTTGATGATATAAAACTGCAGCTATTCATTAGGAAGCAAAATTCACGAAGGCATTAAGGAATAACAACCTAAGTACACATTGATCAGAAAATGTAAAGCACCTAACTAAACTTATGTGACAATGTTGTAGAAATTACAAATTTAATGTATTCACACTACTAAGACTAGAAGGGGTCTCTCCTTTAAAGTGCACCATAATACATGTAAGCAAACCAATTTTCTAGTCACCTGCTTGCCTTTATCAATCTCTTCTTTTCCATGCATGAAGAATATTCAAAACCACCACTGTCATAAATCAAGAATCCCTAAAGAGACACAGAAGACAACATTCTCCACTTCAAAATACAACAGAAAATGGCATATTATCCCCTCGACTCTTCCTCTCATGCAGCAACAATTAAAGAAAATCATACCCCTCTTCAACAAGTCATTAGTTGCCAATATGCTGGCCACACAAAGAAAGTAACCTTTGACACCACATACACCTGGCAAATTAATTTCCAAGTGGAAAAATATGCCAGTCACTCAACAAAGCAATTTTAGTAAGAACACATGCAGGCCTTCTACTTTATTTCACCTCAGCATATATTGGTGACTTCATCCTAATTCCTGACCCTAACACCATTAAGCATATCAAAAGGGAATCCATGGCCTTAATTCGCTATCCAGAATAACATCTACAAAGCAGTGTTTCCTCAAACACATTTGTCAGCTCCAGCTCTACCTGTTTGCATCTGCAAGTCCTCCCAACTATTCGAGAATAACCTTCAACAGCTCTCCACCATTGCAACTCCTCACCTCCCTGAAGGTCCACTGACCTCCCTCAGTGCTGACAAGTTGGTAGAGAGAGAGACAGACAGAGACACACTGTGTGTGTGTGTGTGTGTGTGTGTGTGTGTGCATGAGTGTCTGAATTTCCGCATGATGTAAAGTTGCTTCCTTCATGTATACTTCTAAGTTTTAACCTTTAAACCTCCTAATGACAAGCACTTTATCCTCCCACTTCTATTACCAGCTTCTGCTGTACAATTGTATCGCTCATACTGTTCCCAACATGACTTTTGGAAATTACCTGTACGGGATTCCCAACAAGAAGTTTCATATAACAACCATATTAGTTCCCTTCTCACTACTAGAAAACTGTTCTCTGTCCATGAAACATAGTAGGTATTGCAATCTTCCTACATGTGCAAAACCTTAGAATGCCTCTCAATAAAAAGCAAGGACACCTACTCCACTACAATACCTGCTTCAAGTCTACAGTCTTGTGCTGCTGCAGTACACTAAGGCCCATATTTACCATCATCAGTGTCTATAATCATGTCATTTGCAGATGATATAGCAAGAATTGATGAAAGTAAAAAGACTTAATAACAAACTAGAAATCTGGCGAGATGCTCAAAATCAAAAGGATTTAGGCCTAAAACTGATTATGTAGAATACAACTGCAGTAAAAGGAGGAATTCAAACCCAAAAGTAATATAAATTGAAGGTCAAGAGATAATGAAGAATGAATACCTTCGATATTTAGGGTTAATATACAAGGGAGTGTGAAATTCACAACATATTAAGCTAAAAGGGAAGTTTTATACAACGGTCATAAGACTCGTTATGCTTTATGGTATTAGTTGTTGAGCAACTAAAAAACAACATATTCAAAAATTAAGTGTGACAGAAATGAGAATATTAAGATGAATTTATTTCTTCATTTCCTTCAATAATAAAAATTCTTTTACCAAAATAAAAGAATATTAGGTTGATGTGGATAAAACTAGGAATAATAGAATTATTTATGAAAAAATAGAGGTAACACAGAGAGTATAGAAATTAATGGAATCAGATTAGGTACTTTGGACATATTTATAGACGGGCTACGGGGAAAGAAAGAGTAAGATGATAGCTACTGACGGTAAGCAAAGGAGTAGAGAAAGACCAAAATTACCTTTAAAGAAAATAGTAAAGAAAGATATAATAACTTAAAATTTAAGGCGAAATAGAATTCATGTAACCGATCTTGTAAATGTTGGAACAACGCATTGTTGAGTTTAAGTTTGAGTTTGATTAATCCTTCTCTTTAACAATAGAAGCATTTTTGTTAGTAATCCAAAGTTAGCCCGACATCCAATACAACCTTCCTAGCTCCCTCGATTGACGAGAACTAAACTGGTTTTTGACCCTTTGTTGAAGTTAATTGCTAATAAATGCAATCTTCTAACAAGAGGTACTGAAGTTTTGAATAAATTAAATGAAATTTTATTCTTGCATTTAAAGGGGTTGAAACTTTAGTGCTATCTGCAGAATTTTTTGAATTGTTACACCATTTCCTTTTTATTTTTTCCTAAATGGATTTTTTCCCCGAATTCTGGTGGAAAGCTCTTGGTCCCCCCCCCAAAAAAAAAAAATAAATAAATAAAAACCCCACCCCACCCAAAACAAAAAACATTTGGCAATATTTTAACACTTTTCACTCAGAAACATACATACATACATACATACATACATATATAGCGCGATCATGGAAGTTTTGCACCGTAAGTTCTAGTCGATACTTTTTATGTAAACCGTTAGATAACGATCTAACAATCACTAGACAAAGACGCTCAAAATTAATTATCAAAGCCTATCAAATTTAGTTCTTTACTAAATAGGAAATGTCTATGACATATTGATTGTGATCTAGTCCTATTAAAAAAGTCTTATAGTTAATATAAAAAAAAATACTGACTACTCTTAAATATTAATGGATCGACCCAATAACCCCGATGATTTTTATCTTTGCCCATCCAATTTATTATACCTGTTTGGGTTAACAAAAAGCTAAAAATACCACAGTCAAACCCATCTTCTCTCATGTTTCCCTTCAATTGCTTCATTGTTACTGCAAGTAGATAAGGTTTTTGGGTTGTAATGCGTCTCTGTAAATAAAAGTAGGGGGTAAATTTTTTTTTTTTTTTTAAATTTCAACTTGATTATTGTTTCATACACAGACTATATAACAAGATAGTACCCAATTACTTTTTTAGATTTTTTGTGTGTTCAATTTGCAGCAGGAACAAGTCAATTTTTTTTTAATTTTGAACTGGAGCATTAACAAATTTTCATGTTGGGTTTCACAATAAAAGGATGGTGGCAATGCATTCTGATAAGCAATCCTAATTTTAATCTAACTTTGCCACTTAGATACATCAACGTTATCAAGTCTTCTAAAATAAATTGGGTTGATTAGAAACAAAAGTGAGAAAAATAAAGACAAACTGATAAGTTGGACAAAAAATAAGAGGACAAACTGATAATTTAGGCAAAGATTAAGTAAAACCCACCCAACAGTGATGTACCCCAATTGAACCCACAAAATGGGTCAACATACGTAAAAAAGGTCAAAAGATTTATTTATTAATGTTAAAAATATTAAATTTCACAAAACTAAATAGACTTTTCCAATAGGACTAGATCACAATTAATATGTCATATATATCTCCTATTTAGTTAAGAACTAAATTTGTTAGGTTTTGATAATTAATTTTGAGCATCTTTATTTAGTGATCATTAGATTGGGATCTAACGGCCTACATAAAAAGTACCCACTAGAGGTTACGGTGAACAGTTTCCATTATCGCACTACTATATATATATATATATATATATGTTTACATACATACATGCATATATATGTACACGAACATACATATTTGCCATGTAAATACATCATACCTTCACAGGTTTGTAATGACACGATATGATTTCACTAGAATTGTTTTAAAATTTTGAGTAATTTGTTAAAAATATATAGTGGACTAGGAATAGCACTTGTGTATGCGTATAGCAGCTAATGAATAAAATACAACATCCTTTTTTTGATAACTAAAAGTCAAATCAATGGTGGACAAGAAGTCCAACTCAAAACAATGGGAAAAAAACAACAAAACCAAAAAAACCAAATTACAAGCCGCATGAGGCATTCTAGCTAGCTCTAATACAAAAGAGAGGGATGCCATCAAACTCCTTAGTCGTTGAAGTCCACAAAAAAATTAAGAAATGAAGTCTATCTCACAATCCCTCAACTTCTTCACATTTATTCTAAAAAATTCTCGCATTCTTGTCTTTCCAAATCACTCATAACGTAGCAAAGAAAGCATCATGCCAAAGAATCTTCCATTTCCTATATCTTCTCAAAATCTCTTTATTTAAACAAAGCATAGAATTTATATCCTTTGGTGCAGCCAAAGAAAAATTTACAAGGTCAAAAAGCTTATTCCAAATAACTCATGTCACAGGGCAACGCAAAAATAAGTGATCTATACTTTCATAATCACCTCTACACATAACCATTGTGGTTGAAGAAAAAAAATTTGTCTCCTTTTTTGAAGGACCTCATTTATACTCACCTTCCTATGGGCACTAATCCATTCACAGAGTTGCACTTTCAAAGGCACTTTAGCCTTCTAAATCTTCAGTAATGGTTCAAAAGAAGGAAGTAAAGGATTATCGATTAAAGACTCAAAGAAAGATTTACAACAAAAAATACATGTTGGATCACCAATCCAATAAAATACACACTTAAAAAGTGAAGGGAATAAAACCTGTGGGCTTAGCAGGCAGAAATAAGCAACTGAGGAGTACATACTGACCATTCAAGTTTGCCAGAAGTATAATATTGCAGTCCAAGCAAAGGATGGAAGCCTGGATATACTCCTGTAGAGAAGCAAAAAGGTCACATTCAGTATGAGTGCAGGGGTAATATTTGGATTACACAACTGTTAGAAACAATGAATATGAAGTCCTGGGGCACAAAAGCTGGGAAATAGTTGAGAAAGCAAGGTTGCCTACATCAAATAAGGGTGGGTAAGAAACATAGGTGAAGTGCAAAGGTTAGAGTTCACTACCTCCACATACCCAACTAGTTCTACTTTTCTTAAAATTCAACCTAGAAACTGTATCTTCCCTAGAAAACCC